GCTCTCTAGGACCCCTACCTGGGGCCCAGCTGTGTGGCCCCACATGCCCAACCGGCTCTCTCCTGGCTACCCACTGGATGCCTCATTCTCTGCAAGGGGAGGACCCTGGGGCGGCCCTGTCAGCTTTGTGCCCTTGCCGCAAGCCTGTGGCTGTCACTCCTTGGTCTCTAAGTTTAAGTTTTTTTCCAGTTCAATTTTACAAATTTGTATTTTCACAGTGTTATAATTGAGTCCGTTCATTTTTTCCTAGATTTCCAACTTGCTGGTTTTTCTCCAGGCAAGGCCAGTGTGTGGACTTCAAGGCCAGAGAGCCGTGGGCTTGGGCGTGCTTGGCACTTGGCCTGGTGTGGCTCTGATGGTAAGGATGGCAGTGGTACAGACATAATCACTGCTCCGAGCCAGGCGCTGCTCTCAGAAGTCTATGTCTATGAACTCATTTAATGTCCATGAAGCACCTGCCACTGTCTCCATGATGGTGCGAATGAGGCCCATGGGGTTCAGTCCCTGGCCCAGAGACACCAGCTGGCACATTGTCCAGCAAATGCTGAACTATTTCAGGGAATTGTCCACAAAAAGCAGATTAGCAGCCAGAACCCAAGTTGACAGAAATAAAGGAGCCGCCACGAGGTGAGCTCATGGGCTTGGAAAAGGCCATGAAGAGTCCAGTGCTCTGAACGGAGGCCCAGCAGGCCTGGGAGGTGACCACTATACAGAGGCTCCTGCTCATCCATAACCACCCTGGGCTTTGCTTGCGTGGTGTAGACCAGCTTGGAAATAGTGTGTTCCTTCCCCCCCTAAAATTGGGTATTAATATAACAGTGATAATGACAGAATGAAAAATTCAGGGATGGGATCACCTGGGTCGCACCCCGCTTCTACCACGTGATGTCGTGTGGCCTCTAGCACAGCACTCAGCTCTCCATGGCTTGGTCTTCACATGTGGAAAGGAGAAAATGGTGATGGACAAATGGTATTTGGCATAAGGTTCCTCTGAGCATGCGATAAGCACCTACTAAGTGTCAGCTCACATTGTTCACTGAGCGCTGTGTGGGCCCAGCATTACGACGGGTACCAGCCTCAGGTTCAAAATTCCTATTGCAAACTCAGGAGGGAAGCAGAGGGAGGATCAGAGAGGGAAGTAGGCTGGCCAAGGTCACACAGTGAGCAAGTCCCTAGACCGAGGTCTTTTTTCTCCTATTTCACCCCTACCAGGCCAGGTATCCAAGCAAGGATTTGCTATAAACGCTTGGGAACCTGTTAATGATTCAAATAGAAAACTCAATGGAAGCTTTAAGAAATCTCTTCTGCATTATTCACATCTCATTTTTGGTGGCAAGAACGTAGTCCGTAGTCTTAAAGATACTTGCAAGCATCAGTAAAAACGTGTTCATTGTCATTTGTAGATTGTTTTATTTTTAGCTTAATGAAGATCCAAATTAAACCATCGGAGTGCAATCATCCTGATAGTTCTTATCACGTTTTGCTCATTATCACTTCATTTATATTTATGATGAAGAACAGATGGTACCAATGTCATATTTCAATGTGTATCATATCCAGCTAAGAGGAAATATCTCATATTAGCTGCACTTATCAAAATATTTGTACTTTTCAACAACAGAAATCTGAGCTTATGTACTATCTTGTCACCATGTCATAGCTACCATTTAGAAAAGACCATTTAAATTAGATATGCGAGAGAAAGAATGCATCTTGTGTTATTATTGAATGAATGCACTGAACTCTGAACGGTAATTATGGGTTAGTTGTAAGGAGAGAATCATTAAGCTGGAATGAAAAACAGCAATTAGAGCTTGTTGTCTCGGCGGCACGCTCAGATTTTTAAATCTAAACTGCTGCGGAGAGCTGGGAAGGAAAGGGAACAATTGCTGAGGGTGGAACAGGAGGAGTTAGTGACAGACAATGAGCTTGTCATCAGATTTACGAGCCTGCTTCCTTTCTAAAGGGTCGCGTCAAGGAGAGAAGGCCCAGAAATAACAGCTTTCAGAGGTGAATTGTAAAGCCTTTTAAAATATTGCTCTGTGGCTTCCTTCCTGTTCCAGACAATCCCAACGAGGTGAGGAAAGGTAGGAATCCTGTGTTCCCCCAAATAGCAGCACAAGGCTTATTTGTGGTCCCTTTCATGAAATCAATGGTCAGTCGTCATGGCCTGTGCACCCCCTACGTCTCAGTACATGGGAGCTACAGAGAGGCGCCATCCCCCCTCCCTGCCCCAGGGCAAGTTGAGTCCCACCTGCAAGGAAGACACAGTGGCAGATAACACCAGTGACCAAGGGGGGAAAGTCTGTGGCAATCCCAGTGTCGCCTGAAGGGATGCACGGCCTCATCTGTGGGAGTCAGGAAGGGTTTCATCAAGCTGATTCTGGACCAGGGTTCTGAAGGTTGAAGAGAAGCTCATTGGCTTGATGGGGGAGTTGAAGAAAGTTCTGTCAGGAAGCACTTTGTTGCATCGGTTAAGTTTGTGATGTGGCAGATGGGCTTTGGGTTTTTTTTCTAACTGCTCACTGGCCAGAGAAACTCTGTGCCTCAGTTTCCTCACTCTATAAAATTAGGCTAGTAGCAGCAGCTAATTTATAAGGGTGCAGGGACACATTCAGAACAGCCTCTGGCGCAAGGTGTGTTCAGCTACTGTCAATTCTCAGCATTCCAGGGATGGGTTGGCTGAGCCAAAACCCAGGGCCACGGAACCCCTGTGTGGCGTCTTGTACGTTCCCATAGCCTGGGCCTCTAGCGCTTGCTTATAATTATGTGACCAGAAAGGTTCAGAAAAGCTGAAAAGGTCAAAAACATCCCAACACTGCTGATGTCTTAAAATGACTTTAGCTTACTGCACTTGATAATGCAATTTATAAGCGTTTTGCTTAGAAAACAAAAAGAATAGGAATTGTGTTTAACCTGAGTGGGGCTTGGGAATTTTCACAAGGGGAAAGATCTCTTGCCAGAGGGAAGCTGCTGCACCACCTGAAGAACAGGAGTTTGGAGAACCAGGACCCGATACTGCACCCCAAGAAGCCACCTGCCAAACAGCTTTCTGAATCCTAGGCATTTCTGGTTCCTTGTTGACCGACAAGTGCCCCCACACTGGGCTGACCCCTCTCGGAGTGGGGCTGATGGTTGGCAGGCAAGGTCCACATGTAACAAGAATTTTGCAAAAAGTTATGGTTTGAGAAAAAAACACCTGTGACATAAGCACCACATCTGATGCAAAGATGCATGGAAATGGGGGTGGTGGTGATTTGGTGGTCAGTTGGGGTACAGTCTGCTCTCGACTGGGGCAGAGACTCATGGTCTGCTCGCCTCGCTGGTGGCTGTGCTGGGACCCTAAAGTCGCAAAGCCACCCGGGAAGCTGGACGGGCGCCATCTTGGGCCCTCACCCACTTATGCAGACGTTAATGGAAAGCTCCTCTTGCTTTCCTTTGCTCTTTGACTGACGCGCCCTCGGCCTTGAAGTGAGCACGAGTGGCCCAGGGCTGGGGGAAGCAAGGCGCCGAGCCCCGCAGCACTGCCTCAGATTTCCCTCTCCCTCCAGTGAGTCCTTTTCCAGCAGGCTCCTGGTCCCTCCGGCAAACAGACTCCGGCCGGCCTGCCTGCCTCCCAGGCCTCCCAGACGCCTGGACTTGCCCGAATCCTACAGAGAGCCTGGCTCCAGCTGACAAATCAGGACTCCTGCTACACAGTGGCGCCAAACACTCCAAAAATAATAACTTGACATGATGGGGAAAATCGACAGAGCACAGAGGTGGCAAAACCTCAGTGACTCACGCCCTTAGCACATCACCACTTGCTCCCAGCCCACAGACTCATTTCTGGAGCTTTTAATTTAGCACCGGGGCTCGTTCCCACAAGGAAACAGCATCACAGCCCCTCCCGGAAGGATGGAACAGGCTCCTCCGCTCAAAGCACAGACCCCACGAAATGGCAGTGAACACAAAATGGCAGCGAATCTCAGTTCCTGAACTCAGCTAAGCCACGTCTCCATGAGATGAGAGTCATTCCAGGTGATCAACATAAGCAGAGCCAGGACTTAGCAAGATTCTGACCACAGGCTTGGGGTTCCGACCACACTGGGCTGGCCCCCGTGCGGTCACCCCCAGGTTATGACCCACTTGCCCTCTGTCTCAGTTTCCTCATCCATGTAAGGGTAAGACGGTGTGTATTATGGGGCTTAGGCTTCATTATTTGAGATGATGAGGGTGAAAACGCTGGTCTGAGGTCGGGTACCTGGGAGCCTCTCAGGATCAGAGCTGTGACTGGAAGCTTCTGAGAGGAGAGCAGCCTCCAGGCCTGGACAGCAGACGTGAGGAGTCGGGAAAGCAGGGTGGGAGGAAGAGGGACTAAAAGTGCTCCCCACAGAGGCGACAGCAGAGCAGAGACCTGGGTAAATGCGAGGTATTAGGTGCATGGGGGGTAGAAGACCCTTTCAAGGAATTTTCTAGATCTCCAGTAGGGGTCTGGGTTCAGAAGATTTTGTTTGCTCCCCAGCCTCTGTGCAGCTCCTGATGAGATCAGACCTGGCTGGAGTGTGGGAGAGGCAGATCTGGACCCACCTGTGCATTTCCTCCAGGGCTACACTCATCTCATTGCTGTGCTGTCCATGATAACACGCCCACCTTGATCCCTGGATTTATTTCATTGCAAATCACCAACGAAGCTGAAAAGTAAATAAGAGGCTAACATTCAACTCAGTCATACTATTCAGCATCAACTACATGCTTAGCATGGTGCCTACAATGGACAGACTGAATTTATTTGTGCCTCAGTTTACTCATCTACTAAATCAAGCTTAGACTAAGTAGTCTCTGAGGTTTGCCCCCTAGTTCTGAAGGAAGTCCTCAAAGAGCTCAGAATTTTGTTGCGGGCATAATTTTGTTTCCACCATGAGAAAATGTTATCAAGCAAAGCAAGCCAAGTGGGTGTGTGAAACTCACAATCAGCTTAATTCTGAGTTCACAATGCTAGCTGTAGGGTGAGGGTCAGGTTCTGGCCACGGCACACACCAGAGTCTCTGGTGTGGGGAGAGGCTTTCAATTTGGGCTGCAGAGAACGAAGCCCCAAATCAACCTCAAACCACACACAGGTTTGAACTGAACATTCAGATGCCACCTCCCCTCCGAGAGTCTGCACCAGCCTTCGCGCTGCAGGGAATGATTAAAGGTGAGCATTTTCTATTTTGGGTCTGGAGGAAGGGTTCTATGTTTGGTGACTGTAATCACAGATGGGTTGGGACGACTCATTCCTATTCAGCTGCTTATGAACAAGCACAATTAGAAGTTGACAGCAAACACGCTTCACAAAAATTATCACATTTAGTGTGATTCCCATAATAAAAACAGGAGCAGGCACTGGAGTCTTTTCAATTTACACACAGAGCCCTGGGGTCTCTCCACAGTCACTGCCGATCCAATGTTTCTGAGTAAACTTTATTAGGAAAACAGATTGAAAACTCCTGAGGTTTCGTTAAACCTTGGTTTAACACACACACACACACACACACACACACACAGATGTGCCTGCCCTCACATCTTTTTCTTTTCACCAGAACGTTCATCTACATATGACACAGATATTGTAAAGGCGGGGAGAGGCTGGTCTGTGGCCACCACACTGCACAGCTGGGCCATGTCCTGCTGGGGTCCCCAGACACAGCTGTTGCTATTAGCAACACCCAATTGGGTATTATTTTACTTGAAGAGCCTTTTATATATGCTATCTGATTGAATCTCATAACAATCCTGAGTGATATATTTAGATAGAGGAGATATAGATATTTTCCACGTTCTTTTTCAGGGAAAAACATGTTCAGAAGGAGGGTGGCTGGAGATAGTGGATTCAAAATCACTCTGCTTAGCTACTGGAGCAAGTTTGAATCCTGCGTGGACCTTGCCTCAGTTTTCATAGCTGGTGTCTTTATACCAGGGAGGCAAGAAATGGAACATAAATAACTATCCATTCTGAAAATATTATTGAACACGCAAATTGTGATTGTTCCCTGCGAAGCGTCAGATACTAATGAATGCTGTTTATTACGACTTCTTGTCTCCTTAGCTTTCTTTGGGAAACGACCCCTGTTCTATGATATTCCTGTTCCCTCTGCTTGATTTGGTCAAGGCTGAATCCGCCCTCCTGCCACGAGGGTGGTCTCTGTCCCTGACCAGCCACTTAGAACACACTCCACACCCACGGTCATTGTGATTGGTTCATTCGTGAGCATGTGTGTTCAAATGGGCCATTCGCCATAGGACTTTTCACCAGGGAGTTCAGCAAAAGGATTTCCTTCTTTCTCTGGAACTGCTAGAAGCCATAGTTGCCTCCTTCATGGGGAGAAAAAGCATCTGAGGAAAGAGCAAAGAAATAGCAAATGGGGCTGAGAGATGCAGAGGGCAGGAGCACCGATGGCTTCTCCTGAGCTCTGGATCCTTAATGTCTGGACTTCCCCAGCCTCTGCGATAACACAGTCCCTGTTCCAAGATGTCATATACTTGGAGTGATTCAGGAGGCAAACAAGAGTGAGCTCTTCTATTGAAAAGATAATAAATCAGTAAAAGAATATATATAATACATGACATAACAGAACACAAATGTATCATTTCAAGCTTTGATATGCATTAGGAAGGTCAAAAGGTTTGAGTGAGACAAAAATGCTATGGTCAGAAGAAGGAGTTTCGGGGTGGTCTAGGAAGGGCAGGGATGATCTGTTGAGGAGGTGCCACTTATGTTGGATGTGAATAATAACTCTCCTCTCCTTCCCCATCTACATCTTAATAACATTAACAACTTCAATAATTGCAACAGCCTATGTTTATTGTCTTTTTGTTATATTATTTTTATCGAGGTAACAATGGTTTACAGCACTTGGGGGTGTAGGTTCTTCAGATATATGTTACCACGCCACACGCACCACCCACGCACCCACACTCCTCCACCACAGCCCGTTGGGTCCTCTCCCCTCCCCCACCGTGCTCCCCACCTGCATCCTCTCCTTCTGTTACACTCCATTCCACAGTTGGATTTCTAGGGTTTTGGGTTTTTTGGTTTAATTTTTCTGTTCCTTTGTTTCTTATTATGTATTCCCTGTGAATGAAATCATCGGTATTTACCTTTCTCTTTGTGATTTATTGCGCTTAGCATAACACCCTCCAGTTCCATCCATGCTGTTTCAAATGATAGTCAATCCTCCTAGTATATAGTAAATGCTATTTTAAAATGATAAGTTCCACAAACTCTACAAGGTACAAGTGATCATCTCTGTGTTTTACCGATGAGGAAATGAGGATGAGGTCAATGAAGTAACTTGCCCAGGGGCCATTGCTGGTGAGCTGCACAGCCTGGCTTGAACCAAAGACTGGCTCTGAAACCCTCGCTCTTTCATTTCTAGGATGTGTTGCCAGCAAAGAGGGGAGTCATGCTCCAGATGGGAAGTGCAACCCAGAAATTTTCCATACGAGGCAGAAAAAGGGCACTCTGGGTGTGTCCTGGGGCTTATGTCAATACTGTACTTAAATAACTTCGTATACATCTGGTGATACAAAGCATTTATTGACGCCTGGCACATGCCTGGCATGGAAGGCACACTGCACAGACTCAGCACTTGCCCACAGGACCTCACCCCTCGCCATCTGGAGATAACGCAAACAGTTCAACCCACATGCAACTCTCGGCTGAATGTACATTGAATTTTCCATGGCTCCTTGTTCAGTCTCTCTCTCCTCCCTCCTCTTCATCATCCCTTATTTCTCATTTTTTACATCTTAGCTCTCTTCTTGACTTGAGCTAAGCTGGAAATGGAGCCTTTAGCGGTGGACAATTAGACAGTAAATCCACTTGGCTTACGTGCCACTTGATCCGTCACCTGCTATTTTGCTTTCTGTGAGTTACTACGTGTGAATTACATATGAGCTGGATGTGAAAATCCAGGCCTATCAAATGCAGACCTTTCCCTGTTCCCGTCCCTCACCCCTTTCACTCCATGGCTCTTACTCGTTGCCCTTCCTCCCCCTCCGCCCCAAGCTTGACAAAAGCAGATTCTTCAAAATTGTCCTTCTGGGAATGTCTATTTCATTTTGAACTTGACACAAAATCACTATTTTTGACAGTTGAACTTTTCAGCAAGCTTGATACAAATATTTTAATATCCTGTTACCTGAGCTGAGGGAGAGATAAAATTTTACACCAGACACCTACAGCGGCCAGGGAATTCGTTTGCTGGTGACTGATTTAAAGGTACAGTAACAGCCAAATGGTTAACGAGCTAACCATGCTCGGCAGGGCAGAGGTCAACGGGGAAAGCAAACCTGGTAACTTCGTTGGAGCTGGAGGACCCACACGGGAAAAAAAGCTGCCTGTCAGACAGTGCAACAGCTTCACCCAAAGTTCATTCCCAAGAGGCTAGAAAGGAAAAAGATCAAGGGACATCAAGAAGGTCTCGTGAGGAGTGGACAAAGGCAAGAGTGGCCTGGGACAGGAAAGGCAGGCTCCTGAGTGCTGGCGTGTTGGGTGTGAGGGAAAGGCAGCCGCTGTCACTGAGGAAGTGTAGTGTGGTGTGTCCTCGGGGTAGCAGGGCAGATGTCAAAACACTGGCTGTTACCTCAAGTTCACGCGCTCAGCCAACCAGGAAAAGATGGAGTGTCAGGCAGAAAGGGTGGTAGAGGTGCCTCTTATAAACCACAGCTGACCCCAGCAGCCCCAGGAAGCCCTCTAGCAGCACTGGTCCCACAGAACTTTCTGGAGTGATGGAAATTTTCTCTTCTATGCGAATGTGGTGGCCATTAGACACCTGTGGAAGGACCGTGGCTAGCTTATCTGAGGAACTGAGTTTTATTTTTAATTTTTTTTAAGATTTATTTATCTATGCATACAGGAGTGGGGGTACAGGCCAGAGATGCAGGGGGTGAGAGGATTCACAAGAGACAGAGTGGGGAGCAGAACAGATAGATTGACCGAAATACACCGCTGGGGGGAGTAGCGGGCGAGTCAGGAGAGGTCTGCCTCGCTGTGTGGGTTGCTCCCTGGCCAGCCTGGGAACAAACTTGTGCTGCAGAGGCTGCAGATTGCTTCGTAGTGCGGTGCTTAACCCCTTGTGCCACCAGAGAGGCCCCAGGAACTGCGTTTTAAATGTTATTTGATTTCCACTAACTTACCTTTAAATTTAATTGCCACATGGGGCTGGTGGTTACCATATCCGACAGCACAGCTCTGGAATGTGGGCACCTCAGCGGAAGTCCTCAGGTGCTGGTGCAAGTGCTTCTCCACTAATGGAACTCGGCTGCTCACAACTGTCCTTCGTTTCTCCTCTTGCCACATCTCTCCCTCTAATCTTTGCTTTCTGATCTGTGGTCCTCTTTTTCACCTCAAATCTCTGCTTACCTCTAGTGTCTGCCTTTTGTGATTCTAACTTGCCCGGGCCATCTTCTCTGTATCTGCAGAATTAATTTTCATTTCCTGCATAAATAAGCCATTTAAGTCAATGGCTTAAAATAGCACATGTCCATTTCCACACGTGAGGTTTAGTGATGGTCTCTGCTTTAGGGCCTTGCAAACCTGCAGCCGAGGTGTTGGCTGTGGTGGTTGTCTCATCCGAGTCTTGAACGGGGAAGGGTTTGTTTCCAAACTCATGCTTGTTGAGTTTGTTTCCAAACTCATGCATGTTCGTTCCTTGCAGGTGGCTGGGCTGAGAGCCTCAGTTTCTCGCTTGCTGTTGGCTGAAGCAGGATGTTGTGGACCTTTCCAAAGGGCCGCTTACTCCTTCAAAGCTGATCAAAGCCTTTGTTGTCTTCAGTGGGTTAGAAGAAGGTCAAGATCTGCCCAGGCTCTAGGGGAGAGGCCGCAAAAGACATGCACCCCATGCAGGAGGTGGGGTGAAGGGGTTGTCCTAGGTCGGCCTTCCACAGCCACATTTCCAGCCTAAGATTTTTTTGGTTTGGCTCACTTTTCTGTATTTCTGTGTTCAAGTTCCAGGAGGAGAACTATGAGCCCAGCTTGTTCCTCTGAGCCCGGCCACCTCATCCAGACCTGCCATGGCTGGGTGGCCACCTGTCTGGGTTTGGCCTTGTCCTGGGGGAGAGCATAAGCGGAGCATCACAGGGCAGAGACTGGCTCCCTCGAACACAGAGTCAAACGGGGCCAGGCCCGCAACAAGGCTGCGGTGGGGTCATGCCTCGCACACGTAAAAGGGCAGGAAATTCTACTCCTGAAGCCTGGAAGAGGCAAAGAGGTTTCCTTTATTCTCCTTCTTTGCTTACAGCCTTTATCTCAGTTCCAGAGAGAAGAGGAGAGCTGGAGGGAAGGGACCCTTTGAAATGGGATCTAGTTACATTTTAGACAAATTAAAGGAAATGTTACTTTACAGAGCAGAAAAGAACCTTCATTCCAAAAGCCAAGAGGGCTAGGAATATAAATGGATTAAAAGATATAAATGACATAGTCATAAATTATGTCTATGAAAATAATCCACACATGATTAGCAATATGGGAATGGTTAAACAAATTATGGTAAATTAACATCATTGAACGTTACACCGCTTTTAAGGATGATTATATGAAAATGAAAACAATGTACAGAGGTATTTTTGATCCAGAGCTGTAAGAAAAAGCCCAGAATTACAAAATTTAAATATGAAAAGATAACTTTGTAAAACTTTATATGCTTGGAAAGGAGAGTGGAAAATGTGTGATTATATATATTTTTAAAATATCCTTTATTGTTGTTATAAAACTTGTCATGCAAAGAAAAGCTTAGAAAAAAATGACTAAGAATAATAGGCTAATGTTATTTGACCTGACCCTCTGCTAATTACTTTCCATGCCTTTAGCAGGGTGGTCCTGGCTGTTATTTTTAATTTGCAGATGAGGAAACTGAGGCTTCATGAGGTCAAATACCTTGCTCAATCACATAGGGGGATTTGATCCAGGCTGTCGGCTCTTGAACTATGGCTGTTCAAGTGCACTTTAGGTACTGTGGGAAAGCACGTGGAAATTTACGAGATCGTCTATGACTGGTGGAAAATTTGAAACCTAAAATAACAAAACCAAGCAATGCATTCAGTCCAAATTCAAACTCAACTTAGTCACTGTAGGATGAAATATCCATAGACTGTGAAGCGAAGGTGTCACAACCATCAGGCTTCTCTTGCAAGAATTCCTGATGGCCCGTGGTGATTGTTGCACAATGATTAGCCAATTATAAATCAAATGAATTACTTTTGGCTAAATAATTTCACCTGTAACACTAGAAAAAGCATTCCAAATTTTTTTGCAGTTAGTATAGGATGGGGGTAAAATTAAAAACTATTTGATATGTGTGAGACCTCAAGTCTCTAAAATCTTAGTCTTGTCCAGAGCCTGTGATTTCTACCTCTTCCCAGCACCTCCCAGGCTTCGAGGCACCCCAGCAGGTGACAGCCTGTCGGGGCGATGGGAGAAGGGGAGGAAGGAGACAATAGGGAAGAGGTGGGAGTGGGGCACGTAGAGGAGGGAAGGGCATGTGGAGTCAAGGACTGTGGATTTTGCAGCATAAAACTGGCCCTGTATAGTATGATCCCTGAGTTCTTATTCCTCATCTTTTGTGAGGGCACGAGCATGTGTGTGCGTGAACACGAGCTCCCACACATGCTTATGTGGCACGTGAGTGTTGCCTGGGGTCTGGGTCCATAGGAGAAACACTCGAGCTGGGCTCCCCCTACATTTATTTGCAATTACAACTTTATGGGTTCACATTTTTCAGCAGGTTGCAAATCCAAACTGTAGCAATCTGCAGAAGCAACCCTATGCTTTAGGGGAAACTGAACCGTGGAATGTCTTTAAATATGAGGCAGCAGCTGTTATAGTCACTGTCCGCTTGCCTGAGAAAGTGCTTGGTAATTTACCGGCGCTTGCTGTATACTTCGCACTCATGTCAAAGCAAATTTTAACCTGGGCTTTGCTCTATATGGAAGTCACACTCAGGGGATTTTAAGGGCCCATCCCACCAAGACCCACAGTTTTGGGGACACCCTTAAGGGCAATAATGCTCTTTCCCGAAACAATTGAGTGAGAGAACTTTGAATGTTGAGTTGCTTGAAATTTGATCAATAGATTTTTCTCCTTTATCCTCCCTACCCCCAACCCTCTCAGACCTCTTCTCTACTAAAATACCATTCTCAATTTACAGGTGGCTTTTAAATATAACTTTTCATTAAGTTACTCAAAATGAGTTTATGAGAGGAGGTCTCTATGTACCGACTGTGAGGGATTTACGAGACAGGAGTCCAAGATAATAGCCCGGGACGGAGACCGCTTACATTTCCAGCCTTGCAAACTCATTTTTGATGACACCCTTTAAATAACATGCATGGCCATTTCCCCCCATTCTAACCAAGCGCTGGGATCTTGTTGCGATAACCATGGAGCCGTATGTTACTTGATCAGGGTAATGCAGGGTAATTACTGGCCCATCGCACTTCATTACACCACTGTAATCGGTGGCGGCTCAGTGTTTCAGCTACAGCTGCTCTGAAAATTGAGCTGATATGGATACATGCTAGGAGTGATGGCAGGGGCCCCACGCAAATGGCAGAAATTAGCATCCGGTCAATAGGTTCTGAAACGCAATATGCCACTCAGCCCAGGACACCAGCTTTGGGTCTCTCACTTTCTCTCGGCTACAGAATGATGATCATGGAAGAAATGAGTCCTTCAACTTGTGTGATGCCTCATAAAAGGTCATTAAAATGTCAGAGAATGTTAAATGCCACAGAATAACATTTCTTAACACATCATCTAGTTGTTTCACTGGTGCAGTGGACACTTGCTTTAGCCTGGACCATGTCTGGGAATGGCCTTTTAACATTTACTTGTTACAAACAACAATAAATGATCCAGATGTGTAAAGGGCTGTGGGGACACTTTAGAGAGTAAAAGGGAGAAACACTAGTTATTATTACACTGGTTCCTGGAATGGTGAGACATGGCAGCCCTGCACACGGCACAGCTGTGATCCTTGGTCTCCATCCTTGACCTTAGAGTTAAAGCTGGTGCCATCTGGATGACAAGTCCATGAGCGTGGTCCTTTTCTCCCTGGGTGGGGCAAAACGCATTGTCTGGCCACAGCAAGGGGATGCTAACATAGGCTTGGGTTTTCTGGGAGAAGTGTAGACACCAACACATGGGTCTCATCTCTGAGCATGGATATGGAGTAGATGCTCATGGAAAGCTCCACTTTGGAAGACATCATCACCAAAGTTACATACAGAACAGACAGAAGCAGGATAAAGAGTTCTAGAGAAGGGAGGGAAGCAAGGGAGACAGCACCATGGGAAATGGAAGGAGTGACAGGCATTCATTGGATTTGGCATTGGGAAGATGTGGCCGCCATTTCCAAGATGGCTTCCAACAGTCCTGCCCCTGAGATCAAGCCTTGTGTGGTTCCTCTCACGTCAGTAGGGACAGCCTGGCCCTTGGAACCAGCAGGATACTGTTGAAATGATAGAGCATGGCTTTTAAAGGTCTTGGAAGACACTGATTTCCATCATGCTCTCTTCTAGCCACAAACTCTGGGGGAAGATGGCAGCCATGCCACCAAGATAGCTCCCTGTGCCGAGGAACTGAGGCTGCCCACCGAGAACCACGTGAGTGTCCCATCTTGGAAATAATATGGTTACAAAGAATGTGTTCCTTTCAGGCTTCCTGCAAGCACTAGCTTCTTTTCAAGGAAAACGATACTACAACATGAGATGGAAAATAAGATTTAAGACACTGTGTGCAAAAATCTGCCTTATTACTTTATAGTCATAAGTCCAGTTTTTCTGAGGAAATAGTTTGAGTCTCCTTTTAACTTTTCATCCCCCAGCATTTTTCTATAGATAAAGTTTTATGGCACAGGATAACCCATATAAAATGGATCGACCATAATTCTTCTAAGTGGGTCAACTTACGGCACAGGCCACCTGGAATTACTGGAGGTTGTCCAAACGGCATAAACACTTTCTGAAAGACAACTAAAGTGTCATGGCATGATCTGAATCTATTTGATTGAAAAAAAACAAAAAAACAAAAATGGAGTCATGGCTGCATAGCCCTGCTGGAGTTAACGGACATTCTCTTCCTTTGAAGAACAGAGACTATCTGTGGCATTTGCAGGGCGAGCTGAGTTTTCTGTTAGCTTCATCCAGACCCAAACCCTCCCTTTGCCCTGTGTTTCCTTAGCTGCATCACATCTCTTGATCCGGTCTAAGTCATGAATTAGTAAAGAACCAACCAACGGCCCTATCTGGAGCAGTCTGTTTAATCTTTCATGGCTGGCTCCAGGAAGGATGGCTTTTGAATGGCTTTTTCTTTCCTATTTCCCCCGGCCCTCCAGCATTGACCAAGACGAAGGCTGTCATGTTTGTTTCTGGCCATTTTTATTTTTTTTTAAAACCCTTGTTCACAAAACTGGAAAAGGAGAAAGGAAAGGGCACCTTTCGGGTAGTTTTGGGCAGAAGTGTAGACTGAGGAGTCCACATCGCATGCAGCAAGGAACCCCGTGGCGGAGGGATGTGGTCTGCTTCCCCACAGTGTGCCCTGGCCTGGGCACCCCAGTGGGAGGAGCGCACACAGAGGCCCCAGCTCGGCTAACCCTGGGCCCGCCAACCTTCCTTCTTTCTTCCTTTGTCTTTTTTTCTTCGCCTTAGCAAAGGAAAAAAAAAAAAAACCCGCAAAAAAATACCCCAAGTTAAGCACCGCGCTGTGAAGCAATCTGCAGCCTCTGCAGCACGAGTTTGATCCCCCGCCAGCAAGGAAAACCACATGGCGCAGCAGACCTCTCCTGACTCGCCCACTGCTCCCCTCAGCAGTATATTTCAGTGGGTCTGCCTGTTCTGCTCCCCACTCTGTCTCTGGTGAATCCTCTCAATGCCCCCCCAGCCCCACCCACATCTCTGGCCTGTACCCCAGCTCTTGTATGCATAAATAAATCAATCTTCAAAAAAAGCATCATGCATTAAAAAAAAAAAATCCAAAACCCCAAACAAAAAACAAGCCTATATGAAGTCTTTGTGATTGTTTTTCTTCCCGAGGAAAGGTTAATTCTTGTAGCCGTAATTCATTTATAGGAAATTAGACACAGGAGCGGTTGGATGCCTGAGATAATTTGAAAATTCCCTTTGAAGATCTTTTCCCTTCAGGTTTGTTTGAGGGCCTTTCCCCACCCTGTATTCTTGATGGGGTCTCGAGGCATCACCCAGTGAGTTCCCTGTGGTGAGACTATACCCCTGGAAGGGTTGACAGAGGCAGGACCCCTGGGGACAAAGGGCTTGGTCCATCTTTGTCATGTGTGGTGCCAGCCCAGCTCGCACCTGCACAGAATCACTGCTTCCAGCTCATTGCAGCTCATCTGTCACCAGCAGGCCAGACAGCCACAGGTCATTCAAGTACTGACCGAAGAAAGTTGTCATCTCCTGTCCCTTCTAAATTTTCCAGGCAGAGCTGGCCCAAATCCTGGGAAAGACAGACTTCCTTTCCTGCTGGTCTGTTCTCAGCTCCTGGCATGGCATGTCATGGCCTAATTTAGAAAGGTTGTTTTTTTTCACTGTTTTCACGACATTCTTTTCTTCTCCCAATGGCAGCTTATGAAGAACGGTCAGGAGTCAGTTTCCAGTTCTGTTAGTAGAGCTGGGGGACCCTCGGCCGAGTCTTCCATCGCTGAGACTCTGTTTGGCTTTGCAAGATGGTGACGATGCTGGGCCTACTGGGTAGGTAGGTGGGAAGTTAGAGGGAGACCATGAGGTCAAGAGCCCACCAGCCAGGAGGCGCTCCCTGGACATGAGGCATTACTTTCACTGTGTGACCACGGTGTGTTACGCAAGGTGGTGGTGGGGGAACAGTTAGAATGTTCAAGGCACTTGCCCAGGAACCTGCACAGTCTTTGGTCATTTTACCCAAATAACCCCTAGACCTAGATTCCTTCCAAACAGGATTCTCCATCTGCAGGAGGTGGACGTTTAGCCGTGGAACTCTCCAAAGCCAACCACAGGTCTGCTGAGAAGAACTGAGGCTGAACCATGCCACAGCTGTGCAGAAGGAACTTGTCCTGACCTGCGGATATGTGCTTCCTGGCCCAGGACATGTGACCTGACCCCTTTGTGCCCCACTTTCGGCACATGTGAACATGTGGGCTGCACGAGACGACCTCAAAGTTGCCGTGAGTCAAAGCCAATTATTTATTTGCTGTAACAATTATCAACAGAGGGCTCTCTTCACTCGCTCTCCAGTCTCTTGCCTACAAGAACCCCTAGAAGCCTCCTGTCATGTCCACCGCCTGGTGGGACCCCAACTGCAGGCCCCTCTGACATCATATATTGGATTTCTGGACCTCTGAGAGGCGGCCGTACAGGGGATTCACTCCATTTACCTACAACCCCCAGCTTCTCTCTCTCTCCTGGGGTCGTGTTGATCGGCCCTCAACCTTCCCGCACACTCTCTACCCAGAGAGAGGCCATTCACTCCATCAGTTGCTGTATTTCTGATCTGCCCATATTGGGCAGAATACTAATGACAAGCCAGATCTTTCCTTAAACACTGTTAAGACCTCGAGTGCACAATGAAACATATATTAACACTTTCTTTTGAACTCTTTCTTGTGGCATTTCTTTGGAGAGGAAAAGCTATTTTGCAATTGCCCATTAACCATTAATGTTTTGAGTCACAGTAGGAGAAGGGAGAAAAGATAAAGGGATAATGTCTGCGAGAGAATCAACCCAAAAGGTTCACCATAACGTGAACAATTTCAAACATGTTCGATCTGTTTCTATAATTTTGTTATTCATGAGACATAAAGACAGGGAGAGAGCAAAGTAAACACAGCCACTTAGGAGATGGATGGAGCGCACAAAGAGAAACTAAGCCGTAAAATAGAGCAAAGGAGCAGAGCATTATAAGCAGAAAAATTACATCTGGATTATTCTACTTAAATAGAAGAAACATAAATCACACCGAAGGCTTGTAGCAATGTGTACTGGAGCGATAATGAACAGACCAGCCCAGACCGCCCTCTCTCCTCGCTGAGTTGAATCCTGTGTCTCCTGTGTGATCCAGCACAATTCCTGGGAGCCCGTCATGACCCCAGTTCTCCTGCCCAGTCCTGCCCAGTCCTGTCCAGTCTGGCCTGGTCCACTGTGGTCTTGCCCTGCTGCTGGCACTGGTTCGCTTGGAGTGTGCCTTTGTCTTGGCTTCCCTTGCAGACTGCAGACCTCTAGAAGGTCTTTGCATCTCTGTACCTTTCATTGTCACGGGACTTGGGGCTAAAATCCCTCGGTGTAGTAGTTACACGATGCATGTGTAGACTCATATATTTGTGATGAAATTCTCTCTGTCGTTAGAACTGTCAGCAGAAGAAATTCTGCACAAATGCACTTGGAGGCAGATTGTTTGTTAACCACTGAGCCACCCAATATAGTACCCAATTTAGACAAACATGTCTATTCATAGCTGTTGTTCTCAACTTTCAATAGGTCGAGAAAAACAAGGCTATACTTTTGAAGATTTTCAGTGGTAAATATTTTTGAGTAGATTTGTTCAATTAAGTATATTTGGAGTCACTGAGACTTGAGCGCCGAGGTCTTATACTTGCTAGGACATCTCAAAATCAGCCATCAGTTTACTCAGAGACTCTTTTAAAATGTCTCAATTGCCTCTGGATCAGAAATAATAGAAAAGATGAAGTTTCTCTCTTGGTTTTTTTTACATCATTGTAAATCAGAAATACACAATTCTCCTGGGCCTGTAAATGTTGAGACTGTATTCATCCAGTTTTCAACCTGGAGAGTCAGTGTGATTTAGGGAGAAATGGCCCCTAGTGTTTTTTAAACTCTAGAAACGAATCACTCATTGTATTCACTGCTCATGAATGAAACAGTGAGAGCAGAATTTCCTGTGCCTGCATTTCCTCATCTATCCATGAGGATAATAGAACTGACATTGAAGTGTGGTTATAAAGATTAAATTAGCTAATATGTGGACTAGGTGGCTGTAGGTTAATGACAAACACGCACATGGCAAGGGCTATATAAGTGTTGAAGAAATAAAAATAAAATAAATTTAATTCTCATAGCAATGCTTTGCGATAAGTGCTTTCAAAAGCCCTCCTGCCAAAAATAGTTAAAAACCAGCTGATCATTTGTTTTCTATCCTTAGATTTACAAACAGTGGATATCACCAAGCAATCTTCTCTAACCCTGGGAGGCAATTATTTGTACAGCCTAGCAGTCTCAACTTTATTTGTTTTGAATAAATAAATATAATTATAGCCATTCTCAAGGCCCCTAGGAAACATTTTCCTAACACCAAGAGTGAAAAGATACACCTCCATCTTTTTTGTAATTGACTGAGTCAGTTCACACTCAGCAAAGGAGAAGCTTAGCAGAATAGGAACATGTCTTAAAATATTAATTATGTATATCCGAGTTTCATAAATTTTTTAATTTTCTGAAAGGCGCTAATAACAAGAACCTGTAATGACTCCAGGGAAACAATGACACATTCGCATCTTATTAGTTAAAATAAGTACAGTAATACTTTAGTTATCTGATTGTCACTGGAAATGGACCATTTAATGCACGTCCATTTCCAAACAAGTAAAGCTTGGGTCTATGATGGCAACATCTTTGATCATTTGACTTACTTTTAAATGATGGGAATATGGAACCACTCCTCTTTTATTGTCCAGATCATACTGGAGAATTAAAAAAGTGCTGACCTTTGGGTTGATTTTTTTTAAAGATTTATTTATTTATTTTATGCAAGAACCAGGGTACAGGCCAGAAATGTGGGGGGGTGAGAGGATCCACCAGAGACAGAGCGGGGAACAGAACAGGCAGACTGACAAAATACACTGCTGAGGGGAGCAGTGGGGGAGACAGGAGAGGTCTGCTGCGCCATGTGGGACCCTCGCCGGCAGGCTTGGATCGAACCGGCACTGCAGAGGCTGCGGACAGCTTCACAGTGCCGTGCTCAACTGCCTGTGCCACTAGGGGAGGCCCTGGGTTGATTTTTTTTTATAGGAAGCAAGGGTCAGCATTTCCTTTACTAAATACTATTATAGTAACAAGTTCAGAGAGTTTGAGGCAGGAGACCACACTCTGCCCTTGCATTGAAAGGCTCCATGACTAATGGTGTTTTGTTGGGATTGCATGTTCTTATCAGTTCACAGAGCATGGGGAGCTGTTGTGTTCTACTTGTGAGGCTCTGGTGATTGAAAATAATTAGGATTAGTTTGGGGGCATTAAAAACAAGAAAAAGTAGATCAAGTGGGAGTTATAATGGAATATACCTATACCCATCTACTCAACAAGGGGGTGGTGTTGGTGATGATTAAAAGAAGAGAGAAGAGAGCAAATAGCATCCGGGAACTTTTCTCCCCCACTTGAGTCTGAGGTTAAGCAGAGGTTGAGCCTGCCCTGGAGCTGGGAGGTGGGATGGATACCTCCACAGAAAGAAACCAGTTATGGGGTCTGGGGACACTGGAGCCAGAGTGGGTGGTTGGGGGGCGTGGGTGGCTGGGCCTGGGGGGTACAGCACACACTCAGCTTCAGAGAACACGTTCTGGCTGCCGATGGGTGCATATATGGGGGGCCTTCCCTGGTGATTCTTGTTCCTTCATCTGGAGGGGAACCCGAGTTATCTTAAGTGTGAGATGTTTTCACCAAAAAAATTAGTCTTGCTCAGAAATGTCCAGTTTTGCCAACTCTTACAACAGGGTAGCTCTCAAAAGCTATTTACTGATCAGGCTGAATTTTAAAAGTTAAGGGCAGCAATGCCTTTGAGTTAGAGAAGAAACAAAAATTAGAAATAAATGGCAAATGGCCCTAAACAGTATAAGAAAAATTCTGAGCAATTAAGCTGGCTGTGTCATATTCAGAGGGCTTAGTTGGCAGTGCCAAGCTGATAAGGTTTGAGCACTGTTCTGGGGGCTTGGCTATGCTTTTTCCAGTTCTCATGACAGATCTTGCCAGGTGGGGAGCACATGGACATTACCGGTACCCCCCAAGAATGTTTTACATTGAATAACAATTGTAGAGAAACAAATAAAATTGAGTTGATGTTGACATTCATTTTTAATGGTATTGCGATTATTATGAAGATGACTTGAGCTTATGTCTGATCTATTAATAGAACTTCCCTCAGCCCTCCCTGAGGGTTAATCACTTAGCTTGGGGCCACTGCGTGGGCTGGAATCAGCTAAAAGTCTTCTCAAGCCTTTCCTCCTGTCCCTTCAAGGAGAAGTCGGCTGGACATTTGCATAAGAGCAGATTTTACAAGATCTACTCCAGGCATCTGCTTCAGTGACCACGTCAGAGCTTTATAACAAAGAAATCTTGCTACGTACAGGAATCCAATTAACTGTTAAAGTGATGCTAACAGCTCACACGTGCCGAACGTTGACATGGTCACAGGTGCTGGTTTGTGCAGCGGGTGTGTATTAATTCACTGAATTCCCCAACAACTCTGAGGGGCTAGTGTTTTCCAGTCCCCGAAGAGGACGATGTCTATTAGGAGGTGACGTGTCTCAAAATTCAACCGGTCCCAGCAGAGGCGAGATCCCAACAGTAAGTTAAAATCTCCTGGGGCCACATACAGGGTGCATTAAGCTTTAAGGACTTTACTCCAGTCTGTGGGATCTTCCTGGGGTGGAAGCTGGTGCTTTGCTTGAGTGAGGCATGCTAGACAAGGTGGATTTGGGAATTACCCACCAGGGGAGGGATTCTGCATAAAGCAACGTGTAAGTGAAAGAAGCCAGTCACAGAGGACCTCATAATGTGTGATTCCAATTTTATGAAATGTCCAGAACAGGCAAATCCAGGGAGACAGGAAGTACATTAGTGGTTGCCAGGCGGCGGGAGGGGAGGGATGGGGTGAAATGGGAGTGATTGTGGAGAGGGGGGGTACGAGTTTCTTTTTGGGGTGATGAAAATGCTCTAAAATTGATTGTGGTGATGGTTGCACAATTCTGTGAGTAGACTAAAAGGCATTGAAGTGTATGCTTTAAATGGGTGCATTGTATGGAATGGGAATTATATTTAATAAAGGAGTTGTTAATAATAATAAAAAAAAAAAACCTGAAGTGTTGAGTCTGGTCCCAAGTGTCTGCAGGCAAGCGCAGAGGCCGCGCAGGAGGCTCAGACACACGTGGGTTTCATAAAAGTCACTTAGTAGAGGGAGAAATGGCTGATTAATTAAATTTATATAAATCGTTTATGTCGGTCATTAAACAATTAAATGCACCCATAATCTTGACATGTAGAAATAATCATTGTTAGCATTTTCAGGTTTATCCTTGAGAGTTTTTTTCCTATGCATAAGGAACTCAGGGACTCTGGATCCCTTTGGTAATTTGCTTTCCTCACTAAGTTGTGATCTATCACAGTGGCTTTCCAGACGGACCCAGGGCATCAGTGCCAGCTTTTCCTGAGCACTTCTTACAAATGCAAATTCTCTGGGCCCATCCCAGCCTCAGGGTGAGAAGCTCTGGGGGTGGTGTCACCTCCTGATGCACACTCAGACCCTGGATGAGTGTGCATTAAAGGCAGATGGTTTCTGCCCTAATTTTTAAAGATTAACACTCCAGTTGCTGCAGAGAGCATCCTTGTGCTGTCCTTGTGCTCTCGTTCAGTTATTTCCTCGGATAGAGTCTCAGAAGTGTATTTGCTTGGCTCAAAGTCTAGCCTTTGGCTACATCCCAGCTAACCACCCCCCCTACAAAAAAACCTGAACTTACCTTCCTACCTACAATATGTGACAGTGAGTGTATGTTTTTGACAATTCTGCCCATTCTTTAAAAGAAAATCTATGGTAATACAATAAGTAAAAAGGGCTCACTCTTGTATTTTAGGTTATATAACTTTGATTGCTGATAATATATGTGGTTATTAACTATATTCCTTCATTTGTGAATACTTTGTTTATGTCCTTTACCCAAACTTTTACTGGATTTTTTTGGTATATATATTTCTGGTGGAATTTGATATATTCTTTAAGTAACAAACATACTTATCCCTTGAATATCATATATATTGAAAATTTGTTCTGGTTTGTCATTTAACTTTATTGGGTTATCGTTTGTCAGCAAAACAAGTTTTGAATTTTGATATCATAAAACTTTGTTTTGGTGTGGTCCTTTGAGAGGCATTTACCTTAAAATATTTACGTATCTTTTTGCTTGTACTTCTACATTAGACATTGCAAATCCACTTGGTTGGTGTAAATTGCCCCACAACCCCCACCCCAAGGTTATCCTCAGAGACCTCATGGAAGCTGCCCAGGTGATACTGTGAGAACCACTAGGTAACAGTAATACCAGTTAAGGTATGGAGCCACCTACCCTCTGGGGGTCCCTGCAAGGTAGGGACTTTCAGCAGCTGATAACCCCTGTCCTGCAGAGGCAGCCCTGGAGCCAGAGAGGCTGAATGGGCTGCCCCAGGCTCAGCAGGGAGCCTGTGGCTGAGTCTTGGTTTCCACCTGGCTCTGAAGAGAGGCCTTAAGCACCCAGTTTAACCACCCTCCATGCATGGCATCATGCTGAAAAGCCCGTGAGGTCTCATTTTAAAGGATGGGCAAGGGATGATACTGCTGTAGGACCAGGGTTTTGGGGTGGCAGGGAAGATGACGTAGTTCACCCAGCAAGGCGTCCTTAGTGTGGAGAAGAGGGGGGGCCGTAGATTTTGTAGAAAGTTCCCCTTTTGGGGATGGGGTACTCCAGATAAGGCACCCTTGTTTTCGTTCCCACAGACCAGATGCCTTTATTCAGGCCCTTTGCAGTGACCGCACTTTATCCGCTGAACGTCCGGCGTGAGCTGGGGCTTTGTATGGCGCGGGGTCTTACTGGGGATTATCGGGAGGCAAGAATAATGGTGATATTGTTTGCAGAGCCAAGGTGGAAAATCAGACCCGGGTGGAGGATTTATTTTTCTGCCATAAAGCTGATGGGGGTGGGTTGGGGAGGGGGGCGCTTCCAAAGTTCACTGACTATGGCGCTAAGGCTCCGTTTGGAAACACTCCTGGATGACAGGGGCAGATTCGCAGCTAATACCGTGCACACCCTCTATCACCAGGCATCCAATTCCCAGCGAATTTTGCAATATAGTGACAGTAATGGAAAGCAAAATGATCTCTAAATAATGGTTTAAGATGGCTACTTGATAAAGGGCCCTGCAATAATTATGATCAATGGAGCATGGACTCAATATATATTGCCCATTTAGATGCACCCGATTAGCTTAACAGCTTTCTTTAATGTTCTGAGTATTCTGCGTGTGCGTGCATCTGTGTGTGCATGTGGCGTGTGTGTAAGAGGGAAGAAGGAGCAAGAGAAGAGAGGAGGGGCGGGCACGGGAGGCCCTGGGCAGCGAGGAGCACTGCTGGGCTTCCTATTGCTCAGAGCAGGGGCGGTGGGACTCAGTGCCCTGCGGCGGGGAGGAAATTGAGATTCAGAAGTTGCATGATCGGTACAAGAGAAAGCACTCAAGTGTCTTGTGTTCGGGCAGGCCTGTGTGGCAGGAGGTGGGGGTGGGAGCGGGGCAAGCTTGGGGATGGGACACCTGATATGGGTTTAGTTTAGTCATTTCGCAGAGGGTGCTTTCTGGGTGATGATTTGGGGTAATCACAGAAATTAGGCCTGCGGGCAGCCGGCCAGAAGACTCTCTCAACCTCAAGGGGCTGGGGCTGGGGGTGGGGTGGGGGTGGGAGTTAGTGCCATCCGCTAAGTGAGCCGACAGAACTGGCTTTGGAGAGCTGAGTAGCCATGGAAATGCATTTACCAGGGAGGAGGAGGGATGATTTACTTGACATTGGTCCTAATCCTCCCCTTGCCAGCCCCCCGCCCCACCCCGGAAGGAAATTTTGTGTGTGACAGCCTGTTTAAAAATCTGGGTCGGTTCCCTACTTTTTATGTTTCTGGGTTGATCCCAGGTAACATGCAGGGTCTGTGATCAGCATGTAATGACGAGGGCAGCGTGCCATCTGGGCTGACATTCCTTGGGGTAATGAGGATAAAGTGATTTCAGTCTTAGTCCTGACTTGCTTTGATTTGTCAGTTAAAATAAAGGCCCTTCTCCAACCTTCTATGAAAGGATGTCAGTGGGAATTGTCACAGCTCACACGAGAAGCCAGTCCCCTCCCTGGATAATCTCTCTGATGTTCCTGCTGATTATGAGTGGGTGAGGGGTCATTCGACTCAGTGACCATCGGGCTATAGTCCGTGGCTGAGAGGGGCGGCTGCTGTCCACTGAGCATTTACCACATGCTGGCTGCTGTTATGGCCAAATTGCAGCGTGTGCGTGAGTCACCCCAGGAGACCATTAAAATGCAGATTTGAGGGTGCACAGTTCTAGCAGTATGGGTGGGGGGCAATGCTACCAGCAGCAAAGGTCCAGGGGCAGACCTTATTTGATTCAGACATGAACCCCATGAGGTGGCGCTCTCCAGCATGAATGCCATTTGATGGAGGAAGAGCCCACACTTTCAGGGGCCACGTGTCTTACAGAACATTTCCCAGTTCTTTTTTTTTTTAAAAGATTTATTTATTTATGCATACAAGAACTGGGGTACAGGCCAGAGTTGCGGAGGGTGAGAGAATTCACTGGAGACAGAATGGGGAGCAGAGCAGGCAGACTGACTAAAATACGCTGCTGAGGGGAGCAGCGGGCGAGTCAAGAGAGGTCTGCTGTGCATGTGGGTCAGCATCCTGGCTCAGGATCGAAGTTGGGCTGCAGAAGCTGCGGACAGCTTCCTAGTGCTGTGCTTAACTCCTTGTGCCACCAGGGAGGCCCTATTTCCTGGTTCTTAAATGACAGGGCTGAGACTCAAACGAGGCCATCTGTCCATCCATCCATCCATCCTTCCACCCTTCCACTTATCCATCCTTCTGTCTGTCCGTCCATCCATCCTTCTTGCCCTTCTCCTCTGAGCAGTGTGGGGATGTCAGAGCAAGATGCATGGTAGAGGGGGTGATGGGGCAGCCGAGACACCTAGTGATTGGAGGAGCATCACCCAGATGATACACAGGAGAAGCTTAATTGTGTGAAGTCACTGAGATCGGGAGATGGTCGGGTGTATTTCCCTGATGAACTCGTCACCACTCCCAGAGCTCAGGTTCTGTGCCCTTCACAGTTCCTGTCTGCCCCTGGTCGTCAGGCCTTCAGATTTGTCGGAAGCATCTGATTCTGAACCAGCAGTCTTAATAGGACCGTGATGAGAAGATATAAGGGCCCCCCCCTCCAGGAGTCTGGGGAGGGTGGGGTGTCTGTCACATCTGAGCCTTCAGGGCACGGAGCTGGGCCTTCCGGCCTCACTCCAGCTCATCAACACCTCACACCAATTTCCAAATGCTCCAGGCTTGATTAAACCCAAGGCAAGGTTTGCTGAGTGCTTCCTCCCCCACCTTAATTGTTTAGATTGTGTAGAATTTGAGTCAAATTTAATCCAGATGTTTCTGATTCGTTTAAGTTTAAATCACCAGAAAATGCTCTTAAGTTGCTATTTGATGTTGAAGAGGTTTTTCAAGCATTTTCCCCCTTAATAGGAGAGGTCTCGTGTGTGTGTGGGGGAGCAG